ATTCAAGATGGCTCAGTAGGTAAAGGTGCTTATAGCCAAGCCAGCCCACCTGAGTTCTATCCCTGTGACTCACATGATAGAAGAGGACACTTGCAAGTTTTTCTCTGACATCCACACATGCCATGACACCCACACTACCCCTCCCCCACACAAATATTGTAAAAAAATAAGTTTTTCTCCACCATTAGCTCATTTAATGGATCTTTACACCCCAATCTGCAATGCAGGGAATTATTGAAATACTTCTACACAGATGGAGAAACTGAGACTGAAAGGGGTGAAGGCTGAATAGCATCTAGGAGAGAGAATTTCAAATAGAGCATTTTTGGGGACACCACTACTTGGCAGTGTTAAGCTCCCAGGAAGAGCAATATATATATATTGCAAAAATTCCACAGCTCCTTCCAACCCTTGTAACTGAAAGAGAGCTTTGGCTAAAGTAGTAAATGTCATTTCCCAACATGACCTTCTACTTACTTCCTAAGCTTACCAGGAAGGGTCAAGGCCAAAATGAACACCTCCGAGAGGCCTCCACAGGGAAAACCCCTTGCAGACTGGAATTTGGCTCAGGCATCAGTGCCATCCTGAGGCTGGAAGCCACACCCAGCCTCTGGGTCTGTCTAGCCCATCAGTCACCCAGCAGGTATCCCACGCTAGTCACTCTGCTTGGCACACTCCTGAGCTGGGTCACTGTCAGGCTTCAGTCTTTATTTCTCAGTCACAAATACATCAAATTCCTTTTGCCTATTACACTCAGGCAAACACATGACACCAGCTAAAAGCTTCATCTCAAGCCACAGCTTCAGGGGCTAGGATTAACCCTCTATAGTCAATCTTTTAAATCCTCATATTAATCCCCCAAATCTCTTCCTGTAGTGCCACCTCCCCTTCTGCCATATCCCGTCACTATCGGATGACCCTCTACTTCTCAGCTCTACCCAGCTACACTCATTCCTTAGACTCTGAACGCCAGGGTCCATCTCTCAACTGACCCTCCCCTAGGCAAGCTGTGCCTACCCTGTCTTTTACTGAAGCACCCTCGGACGCTGTCACGGAGCTTGCACACCCGGGTCCCCCTTACCTTGCTCTCTCGGAGGGGCCCCATCTCGCCGCTGCCTGCCGTCTCCCTGCGCCGCCGCCGCCGCCGCCGTCCAGGAGGAGGCACCTGTGAGCACCGAGCGAAGGAGGAAACAGCACTGAGTCCGAGGCTGCGTGCGGCAGCAGCAGCACCGGGCTCGCCGCGTCCGCGCCAGCGGTCGCGCTCGGCTCCGAGGGCACGCCCGCCGCCCCGCCCCGCTGAGCACGTGGTGCCACCGCCCTTGGCCGCTCCGGAGGCGTCTCGCGGTCGCCGCCTTCACCTGCGGCCCGGAACAGCTGCCTGGCACCTCGGAGCGCAGCACCTACCAGGTCACCCGCCACGTCCCGCTCTCAGCGCCCCTCCCTTCCAAGCCTAGCCCGACCCACTGCGGGCAGGCGGAGGCTTATTCGCAGTATCGCCAGGCCAGAGGTCTCCTCTGGTCCAGGATTGGCAGGGAGTGAAAATCGAATGAAGAGGCTGAGAAAAGCTGCAACTTGACATCAGACAGCCAAGATGGAGAAAGAGGGGAAGTCACCCTTCCCACTCACTGTCCCCCTGTGACCTCTAGGTTTTAAGTAAACATATGATTCTCTACAATGACCTCGCCCGAGGATAGTGGTGGTGGGGTCTCCTGGTCCTCCCGAAACCCAGCCAAGCCTATGCTACGGGATTGATACAGCATCTCGGTTGCAGGTTCAAGGCTGCGGTTCTCTTTGGAGGGTTTTGTGTCAGAAGGGCCTAAGGTGGCAGGAAAACACAGCTGACACCAGGAGGCAGGAGCCCAGCATGCAGACTCATTCCCAGTTCTCCAACTGCTGCCTGACTACAAGTGAAGAAGGCCCTGGAATATACTGTAAAGGAAACAGCACACCGGTTCATTCAAGCTGAGACTTTTCTGCAAGTTGGCCCTTGTTAACACCAGGGATAATAATACCCACCGGAGGGGCAGCTGGGAAGGATAAATGAGGACAACAAAACAGCTGTATCCTATTGACAAAACAACTTTCCAACGGGCAGCTAGGTCAGGTCCAGCTGGTCCAATATCTGCAGGTATCTTTTACAGGACAGGCATTCAAAAGTGTTTGTGGTGCTTTAAAAAACTCATGTTTAAAAAGCTCAAAATGTCTCTGAGAACAGAATGGTTGACAGTCTTGCTGTGCTATCCTCAAATCCAATTTGGTGATAGGCCTTCAACATTTATGACGTACACAGGCTTTACTCAGGTAGAGAATATTCTAGGTAGCAATGTGAGCAGTGTCAGTCTCATGCTGGCACCCAGGGTCTTACGTGCGATGACTGTGTTTATAGGTAATGTAGCTCAAATTCCACCATTCTGCTTGCATTCCTTCAAATACCAACTCAGGAAAACAAGGAATGTACTGAGTTCGCAGAGATCCTAAAGTTGAAAGGTTAGTGGAATCCATTTGTTAACTTCCTAAAACCCCAAGAGATTATATTCCACAAATCCTTATCCCCTTCCATCTACTTAACAGAGACATAATCTTGAGATTCTCTGGAGCAGAAGAGGTGACTAGTTCATCCTTTCTAAACCCATAACTCTTAACCATGGACCTCACCAAGGTAGGCCTAAGAGAATTGATACAATTTATTATTTCTAAAACTGTGTGCCCAGGTCTGTAAATTACAAGATAGGAATGAACGTTCCTGCATTCCCTGAGAACTGAATCAGTGATCTTAATGGCAGAACCTATCCACAGGCTGCTGAGATCAGAGACAGTTTCTGTCTTGTCCCCCAAACCAGTCTTTTGCTTTCCAACAGCACCATTCATAGTGACTCAAGCCTTAGTCGGTTCTACCCTGGCAATAGGACTTGAATCTGACCCCTTTTGTCCAGCATCCATTTTCACTCTCATTTGGTATCTTCTTTTGGAGTCTGCTTGCTCTGAGTTCTAGCCAAAGCAAGCCAATGAAGCTGTTCTGTTTCCAGGCTTATTCTCTTCTTTTTCTGACCAATTAAGGATTTTTGGGTTTGTTTTGTTTTCGAAGAAAGCTTTCATAGAAAACAAATTGCTCACAGCCTCACTTGATTTTGCTTGGTTTGATTTTTTTTAATGATTGTTTTGATGTTGTTTTGTTTGATTGTTTGTTTGTTTGTGGTAGTGCAGGAGATTGAAAGAGAAGGTCATAGTGCAGGAGATTGAAAGAGAAGGTCATGTGCTTGTTAAGTAAGTATTCTGCCAAGAAAGTGTTTGACCACTGAGCTGATCTTCAGCCCCCTGGTAAGCAAAGCTAAGTCAAACCATGCTTCTCCACCAAACTCCTTGACAACTCCATTTCCCTGCAGTTAGTATTGAAACCTGCCAAGATGGCACCTAGCCTTTTCAAGATCTGACTGCTGCATTCGCTCCTGCTTTTCTACAGGTGTTCCCTGCCCATCCCACATCCCCCCAGCCTGCTGCTCTCTCTCCATACACACATGGCTATTGTTCAAACTGTAGTCTTTAGTTCTCTGGAGACCTCATGTTCTTGTCCCTCTAGACTTTTGCACAGTGCTGATACCCTGTTTACATTTCTCACACTCTACCTACCCATCCTCCTCCACTCTGAAAGAGTAAGCTTAATCTTAGACAGCTTCTTCCAGGAAGCCTCCCAGATCCCTGCAGAACACATGTGCTTGCCCTCGGAGAGCTGTACTGATCCTTCTTCAGAACTCCCCCTCACTTGTCTTCATCATGGATTGTAGCTACTGCCTGGCACAATTCCTTCCATACAGTAGCATCAATGCATAACTGCCAAATGAATGAATTCCACGATCCCATATAGGGCTCACTGGTACAGAATGGGTAACATAGATACAACTCGTGTTTAGCAAATGACTCAGATAAAGCTGTCCTTGTATTTAATGATGGGATGTGTGCCTAAAAAAAAAAAATCCAACATGTGTTCAGTGAAAGCTTTTTACTGCAGAAGGGCAGGCACTGAGAGGCTGTGCAGTAGCCTCGCTGTCACCATGGCAACCTTACCGAGGGAAAGGCTGATGGTTTACTGTTCAGATGCCTCTTAGCTCTGTACTTTTGGAACCCAAGCCTGTTTTTCTGCTGTTCCAAACATCGAGTTTTTACAAATAACCGTTATCTATGTTGCCTTTAATTCATTCAAGTGTTTCTCATGTCATTAGGAAAAATGTAACATTTGGATTATGGCATCCAAAAGGCATAGTCTAATATAGTTTAAGATATTCATCGTTCATCTGCCTGTTAATATGCAGCACTTTCATTTTATACTTAAATACTTTATTGTCTTGGTTTGTGATTTTGTAGCATTTTCTTGAGGGGAAAAAAAAAACCAAGAGTGTTTCCTGGATTTTTTTAGAGAATATAAATTGCTTTGGAAGGCTTGAACCCCTAGAGGTTTTAAATAATATACCTGGCTAGAAATATAGGAGATACAGTGTTATGAATTGGAAGAGAAGCAAAGTCTATGTACTTACTCTCCAAATCTAGGAATTCTTTATGTGAAATTTGTAATGAAATGATCTATACTTTTAATATGCAGAGAACTTTACATTGTCAGAGCCCTTTCACATAATATAATCTTATACACGTCCCGTAAAAAAAAAAAATGTGACATGTAAGTGGTCAACTGCTGAAGTCAGATGAATGATAAAGCACAGGTTTTTCTTGACAGAGACTCCACCTCCCCCAGACTGAAAACTTCACAGAAAAGACAATACAGATCCACTGCCAAAGAGAATCATTTGCAGCAAACAATCACATGCCCTTTCCCTCATGTCTCACCTGTGAATGCCAGGGCTGTCTTGGACTCAATCAGGGCTGACAAAGCACCGGCTCTTAATCCTATCAGCTGTGCAAGCGAGCGCTGCCGTCTCTCAGTGACCCGATGTTGGGTGATCTGCACAGCAACAAGGAGCAGCTGACGTGCTTTACAACACGTCATGAAGAAAAGAAACTGCATTCTGGGGCATCCTGGGATTTTTTTTTGTGGTGGGGTGGAGACCCATATTTTTCTTACCAGGGAGAGAGCTGCCTGTTTTCCTGTAAGAGCTTGTGTGAGTGATCCACCCTCCTCTTATTGTATGTGTGTTGTTGTTAAGCTATGGTTAAGGTATTTAGACGCTATAAACTGTGATGGCTAGAATTATGCAAGATCACTTCCTGAGGAGGGGGCCCAGAGAGTACTTGGGGCAGAGGGGAGTGGGTAACCTGAGGCAGTGTGGCATGAACATTCATTGGATTTGGAATGTGCCAATTATCTGGGCTCTGCAAATGAGTTTACAGTTAGAGATGCTGCTAAGTGAGGGAGAGAAATGAACTGAAGTTCAGGTGAAGGGGCAGAGGTTTGGGCCCCGGGGACTTTGAGGCGTGAAGGACACATTTTCTGCCTTTCTAATGGGGAATCCGATGTAAGGTAGTTTCTCATATGGTATCTGATGTCTGTGGCCTTTTGTCCATTTGTAAGAATAGAGTAAGAAACTAGCCAAAATATTGGAACGGTAACTATTTTAAACAATGTGGCAACACAGAGTGGGACAAACAGCTGTCCACTGATTGGGAAAATGGATTAAAATGACTGAAAATTAGATGCCTGGGACAGATGAGTGGAAAGCTGGGCATCCAGGTGGGAGAAGGCCGAGTCTGGCCATTTCCCTAATGATCTGCCTCCGATGACTAGACAATCCGTGGGCCTCAAATATGCACTGAAAGGGCACAGGAAGTCGTCTGTGAGGTAGGCACCGGAAGGCCTTAATCCACATGTTGAATTCTGGGCCTGAGGGGGAAGCACCTCAGTCTGGAGGAATAAGAAGGGCAGTGGAGAGTCCTCTGACCCAGCAGCAAAACTTCCTAGAAAGGAGATGAGGAGTGAAGGCCAAGACACTTCTCACATCTGTCAGGTACTTCGTTTAGGGGCCCTGAGGATTGATCCAGGACCCACATTAATCCAGGCTTAGAATAGGTATTTATAATATCTTCCCAGGAAGCAGATGTATAGCTAGATCTGATTTACGTTAAGGATTTGTTTTCCATAATATAATTTATGTATATGACTTTGTACTTTCCCCACCATTCACTTTCTAGTAAACACTCTTTTAAAAATAATTCTGCCCCCCCTTTTTTTTCTCCTGCTAGAAGATGGGGGAAGGGCTGATTCTGAAATTTTTACTCAAAAGACCAGACAGCCGGTTCTTGCAAAACAAAAATGAGCACCCCTAGTGGCGAATTGCTATGACAGCTGTTGCAGGAGCCCGGGGAGTTAGGGAGCTGTTTGCAGGCCTAGGGGAACATGGAAGGAGGTAGGAGCTTGGCGGTGCTTTCCAGAGAGAACAGAGAGCCAAATACACCTTTACAGAGGTAGGGCTGAGGGCAATCCTGATCGCTGCTTTTATTCTCGAAGCCTGCTGTGCCATTGTTATCAACCAGTTTTCTTCATTGCTGTCATCTTGTGACCTAGTGAGTAAACACACAGCTTTGCTGTGACCTATCTCCTCCCCCAAGCTACTGGAGAAAAATCAGTAAGAAAATAATCCTAGGATTTGAGGGTCTGAACTATGTTGTCTTATCTCTCCATGTGTCTTCATTAGTCACTTCTAGAAAGCCATTTCATCAAAGAGAAATTGCCTTTGAAAGAGATAACTTTCCGTATTAGTTTCACAGATATTGAGATTACATCATCAACAAATTTGGCAAATGAAAGACTAAAACTGTTCATTATTTCATTGGCCTAATATCTATGATTCCCATGGTGTTTCAGTTAGCTTTGTTTTTCTCTTGTATTTCAGGCTTATTTACTGTACATCAAAACAGCATAAAAATGATAATAAAATTCTAAATAACCTATCACATTTGGGGATCTGTGGATGCCATTATACCTGGCTGTTTTGATGACTATCCTGGACTGGAATGCCATTTGTTTTCTCAAGAAGTTACTCACCTCCTCTTGTCCTCTGATTGGGCAATGATCTAAGATAGGACCCCCAAGCCTCTTTACCACTGCAGACAAAGTACTGGGGCTACTGCTAGGAAGCCTGAAAGCTCCGTCATGGCCTCCCACACCACGACCCCCCACCACCCCCCACACCCCTGGTGACAGCTGTAGTAGATAAAATTTTAGGATGAGCTGCCTGGTGGAGAGTTAGTTAAACTAAGATTGGGGAAATGACCTTGAATTAGGGCCTGAGAGGAAAACACCTGTGTCTGCTCTTCTATTAAGCTCAGCTACTGACTGGCCTCCTGGTGATGCTCCTTCAAAAGACAGCTGGAGAGGGAAATGAATTTCCTATTCTGCACAGGGGTGTGTGGTGAAAAGGAAATGAAAGATACAAGGGCCTGGATCTCACAGCCCTGAACTGAAGTCAGTTGTTTGCCTTGTTCTGACTGTGCCAGCCCACTGGAGTTGTTTAAGGACCCCATAGGACTCAGCTGCAAATGCAGGTTGGTTGAAAAGGAAGACCAGTTAGTGTTTTTGAGTAAATTAAGTTCTCTCTGCTTCATTTTCACACCTATAAAATCGACTTAATAATAGTAATTAGCTCGTAATACTGTTAGAAGGATTAGACAAGTCTAGTATTTATTTATGCCTGGTTAGAGTTTCCTAGATATCTTTTTCTTGCTCAGATCAAACTGTTCGAACTACCATTGCTGCCTCCTGCCTGCTTGTTTCACATTTGCCTCATCTTATAGATGGGATAGGGCTTTTTATCAAAGGGGAAACTGTTTTGCTCATATAGATTATTACACAAAAAGAAGAAAACTGAATTTCACATTGGAAAAGTGGTTGATAAGCCATTCCTACCAAAGACAGATTAAAACTGGTGAAATGGATTGGATGGGGAAGGCTAGGAACCTATCAACGGTCCATTCTCTCATGTGTCTGTGGCCCCGATGGTCCTTCTCGGAGCTAGTGTCTATCCTGTTCTTTAGGGTCTAACGGAAGCATGGGCATAGCTATGGCATGCCATTCTGGAAGTCTGCATTGTGTTAGAGAGATGTCAAAGGGGCTTGTCAGAATTTTAAGTTATATTGGGATTGGAGGCAGCTAAGGATACGTTTTGAAATGAGTTTGAAGAACAAACAGGTTCCATTATGTTTCTGGCTTCTTGAAAGTTCCCTTTATTTCCTTAGTTTCTTCTTCCTCCTTCCCCTCCCACCCTCCTCCTGCTCCCCTCTTTCTCCTTTCTTTTTCTCTCCACCTCTCTTCTCCCATCTTTTCTCCCTCTCTTTCCTCTCCTCTTCTGTCTGTCTACCTCTCTTTCCATTCCTTATCTTTTTACCTATTTCATCTTCCTGTTTCTGCCTACTGTGTAAAACACCCGCTACATAAGTGGATTGATGCAGACAGAAGCGTTGGGTTCCCCTTGAAGTACTCACTGCTCACTTCCTGTAATGTTTTGGGGGAAAGGGATTTGTCTCAGAGTCCCGATTGGGTACAAATGGCACCAAGTACAATATGTAGCATCTCAATTAGCTTTTGCTAATTAATATCATTTAAAAAATTTTAAGAGGATCATGGTTATATTTCCACCCATTGATCCATTAATGATTTTTTCCTTTGACATCTTTGTTTGGGAAGAAATCTTCGTAGCATATTCAAGCCTTCTTGGGATTATTTCAGACAACTTTCAAAATGTAAGGCTACATAACTGTGTGTCAGTGAATGAGATACCCTGAAGGGTACTATACTGAACGAAGTAGTATTCTTAATCATTAGGCGTTGCTGTCTTCTGCTCTCTGCTGAGCTATATCGGACAAGTTAGCATTCTTAATTTTAAGTCTGTAGTTTTATTTGTAAAATGCATATGTGGTCTACTTCATAAGTTTTTTTTTCCAAAGATTGAATTCTCTGTCACACACAGAAATGTATACAGGTTGGGAATTCAATTAAGGGCTCTTTGTTTTCCTCCCTGTCTTTTCTGCTTTTCCAGTTAATGATAACTCTGCAGAAGATAATCTATAGGATTCAGCTTTAGCTGATCAGTGAGCTAATTCTTTCTACAGCAATAATGGCAAACAGTCTTCAGATAGCCCCTGTTTCACTTATTCTCATGTATCTACTATTTCTATAAAATTAATAGGCTTGATATTTTTAAGCTGTTGTTTCTTGAAGCTGTTTTAGTTTCATAAAAAGATTAAGTGGGGAGTACAGAAACTAAGCCATTAACACCCACAGTAAGCGCCATCTTTTCCTTCTAATAGTCTGAATGCAATTCATTTCCTACCTGCTTGATTGATTAGATAGAATCATACTCTATTTTTGAAGAAGATGAAAATAGGTGCAAACTCAGTGGATCTTCCCTGCTTCCCATCCCCTCATCTGTTTGGATGGTTTCCAAGGTTTTCTGTGTCTCTAATATGTAGTCAACATCCTAGCTTTCAGAGTTATCTCAGATAGACTTAAAATGCCCACCTGTGCCTGACCTGAATCTGCACAGATTGACCCCCATTGTCTCATGAATGAATAGTACTGTTTGTTCTTGATCTCCAGCTGCTGGAGGTTTATGTGGCAATCATTTTGTGATCTGAAGATAGTGTTAGAGAGTTATTTCCTTTTCACCTAAGTCTCTATTGAAACCTTCCCCATACTTCAAACCTACCACCCTACTATTGTTGCTTCATGCCGAGCAGATTCTCTTAGCCCTTGATGGACAGACAAAATAGAATGTATAGAACTCTCCATCTCTTACTTCTAATCCTATAAATTTACCAGTCTCTTTCCTATTCCTTTGTTTCTCCATCTTCTTAGTTTGTTCCCCCTTTACAAGGGAAATTCTTATACCTGAAAATTGAATTCTACCCTTTCAAGTCTTGTAAAGGAAATTAACCAATTAACCCTTCTAACTCTCTAGAATCATATCATTGTCTTTAAAGTAGAATAATTATACCTAGGTTTCTATGAGCATCACTGGACCTAATATTCATAAAGAGCTGAAGAGAATCCCCAGCATATCAGAATCATGAAGTTTGGTGTGAGCTGTTATTAGCTATTTTCTTAAAAATTATATCAACATATGTCTTTATTTTCCTGATTTTGAGTACTACTGTTTTTCTCCCCTTC